AAAAAAAAAAAAAAAAAAAAAAAAAAAAAATGAATTCTACTAAACCCTAAACCCTAGATATTATCATCAATATATCGTGGCCATGGCAATCCTAAACCCTAAACCCTAAACCCTCACCGCATAAGCTTCATCTTGGCTCCACAGCCCGGCCGCAAGCAGGGGGGATCATCTTCCTTTGAGGAGCCGTACGAGCGGTAACACTCAGGGGGGGGGCAATCAGGGTTTGTGCATTTGTATATCTTTGCGTTGGCGTAGCTGTACATACACCCCAACACAAACCCTAAACCCTAAACCCTTACAAACCCTAGAAAGTAAAAAGAAACAAATTGTAACGCTGGGATAGAGATAAAATATAATATACAACATCCTAAACCCTAAACCCTAAACCCTAAACCCTAGAATCCTTCTCCTCAGCCCAACAAGTGCTTTAACTGCTCAATTTGCAGCCCCCCTCAAAACAACCCAAACCCCAAAACCCTAAACCCTAAACCCTAAACCCTAGAGAGTATATAAAGAGTATATAAAGACAAACCCTAATTTAATGGTGATATTTCTTTCTTTTTCGTGCTTGAAGCGGACTGTCTGTACACCCGAAACCGCCCGCACCACCGTCGACTTTCCGTGGGCCACGTGACCAATGGTACCGAAGTTTATCGTTGCCTGAACACAAAACCCTAAACCCTAAACCCTAAACCCTAGCCCGGGATCTAAACCCTAAACCCTAAACCCTGAACTCTAAACCCTAGAACAGTGAGACTCCAACAGGGTCAAGCTGGGGACTTTCAATGGTTGCGGGGAATCACAACTCATAGATATTATAGAAATAAGGGTTTAGGGTTTAGGGTTTAGGGTTTAGGGTTTGGGGGTACCTGCCGGCTTATGACCTCTGGAGACAAAGGAGTCAGCTTGGCGATGTCCAGCTTAGACAAGTCCTGAGCATCACCACCCCAAACCCTAAACCCTAAACCCTTAACCCTAAACCCTTAACCCTAGACCCTAAACCCTAAACCCTTAACACTAAACCCTCAACCCTAAACCCTAAACCCTAAACCCCACATGGGCAGTTCTACGAGATCCGGCGGCGCCAGAAGCCCTCATCTCTTTCAACCATGCGGATCCAAACCCTAAACCCTAAACCCCACACCTGCGTAAAACCCTAAACCCTAGACCCTAAACCCTAAACCCTAAACCCTCACCTGGGGAAGGAGGTGGTCCACAGCGGCCGCCATTTTCCCACGCGTCGGTTTTCTGGTCGCTGAACAGACGGAAAAAACCCAAAACTATAAACCCTAAACCCCAAACCCTAAACCCTAAACCCTAAACCCTAAACCCTCGCATGCTTGGCTTGCGAGGGTTTAGGGTTTAGGGGCTCCTCCTC